CTTATCTTATCTTATCTTATCTTATCTTATCTTATCTTATCTTATCTTATCTTATCTTATCTTATCTTATCTTATCTTATCTTATCTTATCTTAGTGAAACGAGACGTATAACCCCTACTTGGCTTACCAGACTCACTCCGCTTACAATTAATCACATTGAACAAAGAAGTCCACCATGTAGCCAAGGATGTGGAAACACCTTTTCAAAAATCTTCTTAGAGTATTCAGACCTCTTTGAAGATAAACTTGGTAAGCTTCCGGTTACCTATTCCATGAAAATAGACCCAAAAGTCACACCAGTAGTAAAGCTTGCACGCAAAATACCAGTTCCAATGCAAGACAAGGTTAAAGCAGAATTAACCTGCATGGTCGAGTTGGGTGTGATCACCCCTGTCATCGAGCCAACAGAATGGGTGTCGTCTATGGTGGCGACCCACAAGAAAAATTCAGATGACATCAGACTCTGCATCGATCCAAGAGATCTAAACAAAGCGCTGAAACGCCCGCATCACCCTATGCGTACTATAGAGGAGGTAGCCACCCAAATGCCTAACTCCAAAGTTTTTTCTGTCGTGGATGCGAAATGCTCCTTTTGGCAGATAACGCTCGACCAAAATTCATCCATGCTCACGACTTTCAGCTCTCCGTCTGGCAGATTCCGCTTTCTCAGAATGCCATATGGAATAAACTCAGCCAGCGAGGTGCTCCAGCGTGCAATGGAGCAGATCTTTGCTGGATCGTCGACGACATAATCATCAGCGGAAGAGATATGAAAGAGCATGAACAGAATCTCAGAAAGGTACTCGACTGTGCAAGGGAAGTCAAGCTGAGACTCAATCCTCTAAAGTGCAAATTCAGTCTCAAAGAAGTCTGTTATGTTGGTCACGTCTTCACAAGCAAGGGCTTAAAGCCTGACCCAGCAAAGACTAAAGCAATTAAGGAGATGCCCACACCTGAAAACGTCACAGCTCTCCAACGCTTCTTAGGGATGATTAATTACCTAGGAAAGTTCATTCCTAATTTCAGCGAGCTCTCAGCCCCACTTCAGGAGCTAACGTGCAAAGACATTCAGTGGTACTGGCTGAAGCAGCATCAAGATGCATTCAATGCCTTAAAACAGAGCCTAACCAGTCCACCCACTCTCAGCTACTACGACGTCAAGAAACCCGTCACGCTAACGTGTGATGCCTCGCAGTATGGACTCGGGGCTGCATGCCTCCAGGAAGGCGCCCCGATCGCCTACTCCTCTCGTAATCTGACGCAGACCGAAATGCGCTATGCACAGATCGAGAAGGAACTTCTTGCAGTTGTATTCGCATGTTCCAAGTTCAATGATTACATCTATGGAAAGCAAATCCAAATCAGATCACCAGCCGTTAGTCACTATCCTCAGCTCCAGCCAGACTGCAGCACATGATGCTCAGACTGCAGAAGTACAACTTTCAGATGGTGTACAAAAAAGGCTCGCAGATGTACCTCGCCGACACTTTGTCCCGTGCTCCCACAAGCTCGACAGATCAGCACAGTGATGAAACAGCAGACTACGAGATCATGTCGATCCAACAAATCTCTTCTTCTAGGCTGACCCAGCTGAAGGAACACACTGCCTCCGATCCAGAGCTACAGAAACTGAGCACTGTCATAATGAGAGGCTGGCCTTGCAGACAAACTCAGCTGCCCACAGAACTTCGTCAATACCACCCATATCGGGATGAACTCACCCTAGAAGATGGTATTGTCATAAAAGGCCCGAAGACAGTGATCCCAAAGTCTTTGCAAAAGGATTATATTGCCATCCTCCACAGAGGGCAACCAGGCACAGAAGCTACTAAATGCACAAAACACAATGACTGAAGCTACTAAAGACAATGACTGAAGATATAGAGCAAGAAACAACTGTGTGTCCGGTGTGCAACAGCACCAGACCACATCAACAGAAAGAGCCACTCAAGCTACATCCAGTGCCGGACTTACCCTGGTCAACCGTCGCCACTGACATCTTTGAGTGGAATGGTCGACATCACCTGGTTGTAGTCGACTCTTACTCAGGTTGGTTCGAGGTAGACTTGCTTCATGACCTAACTGCCAGCACTGTCATTACGAAGCTCAAAAGACACTTTTCCGTCCATGGCTGCCCGCACATAGTAATATCAGACAATGGCACCCAGTTCACTAGCCAACGCTTTGCAGACTTTGCTTCGGACTGGGACTTTGTTCATGTGACAAGTAGCCCAGACTATCCACAGGCCAATGGACTGGCTGAACGTGCAGTTCGCAGTGCAAAGCAGCTGATGGAAAGGTCAAAGAGAGATGGAACAGATGTCTTCCTCAACCTACTCAATCTCCGCAATGTGCCACGAGATCACACACTAGGTTCTCCAGCTGAAAGGCTGATGTCAAGACAGACACGCACTACCCTACCTGTGTGTAAACGTCTGCTCATTCCCAGCCCCAAAAGCAACAGAGCTGTTAAAACAAACTTAGTTCACAAGTGCCATGCACAAAAGAAATACTATGACAAGTCCAGCAGACCCCTCCGTCCCCTCATGCCAGGTGAGGTTGTGCAGATGCAAATGCGTCATGGACATGACTCCTTAGGGACTATCAAGGAAGCCTGCACGGAACCCAGCTCATACATCGTCCAGTCAGAAGGCGGAGAGTACAGGCGGAACCGAAGGCATGTCCTCCCAGTCCCTGAACCGCCACCACAACACGGAGATTCCCGTGATGATTACACCGCGGCCCAACCACCAACCACAAGTTCCCCACAGCACATCCAAAGACCTGTGCAACACACTGAAGAACAAACACATAGCCGCACACAAAACTTCACACAAGCCCCTGTCCAGTCCCCCTGTCGCCTGGCAAGTAATGCTTACATTAGGTTACATTACATTACAGTTTGGGAGCGTCTGCAAGCCAAACCCCAAGTATGAACACTAAGACATAAGAGATGGACTGTAACATGAAAAAAACCCTCAATGGACACTACATGTGACGTGATGTTAACAAGGTTAAATGCTCACTATGTTCTTACCAATGACACAGTTCCAGGTGTGAAGTAATTCGTTAATGTCCAGGCTAGAATGCTATGGATTAGGATATGTTGCTAATGTATTATTGCTAAAGATGTTGTTAGTCGTTTATACAGTCCTAAGCTAAAGAAAGGGGATGTAGAACATCTGACTAATATTGTTCGTTAATGCTGCTTTCATATACCTGTTCCGAGTAGTACGCTGCGCACGCACGCAGTGAGACAGCGCGAAGGTGAGAGTGAAGTTGCTTACATGTAATGTCTGCTCAGTTACACAGTAAAACAAAGCTTGCTAGTAATCACGAATCCAGAGTCATTACTGAACATGAAACAGTTATATTTTTTACATCTTAGTACCATAGCTCAAAGATACAGAGACAATTAAGATCACTTCAACATGATAGTTTTGCTTAATAAGAAAATATATTTCTTTAGAATTTATATGACAGCTGGGATAGGCTCCAGCGCCCGCCCCCCGCGACCCTGAAAAGGATAAGCGGAAGCGAATGGATGGATGGATAGAATTTATATGATTCACTCAATCCTCTAGCTTTTGTAGTAGTACATTTATTAAGTGTTGCAAGTGTTGCCCCCCCTGGTCTGACAGGTACCTCGGAGGGGTGCGATCCTAGATCCCGCAGCTCAACAACATATATAGAAAACCCACTACAACTGAAAACGTTCATTAGCATTGCTACAGTACTTGAAACTCACTTCTCCCGCTAGCCAGTCCATTAGCTTAGCACAAGGGTCGACAACCTGCGGCTCTTTAGTCCTTGTACTGCGGCTCCGCGTGGTTTGGGAACATAAATTACATTTAGCTGAAGTGTATTTTTTTTGTATTAGTTCTTTTTAAACTTGTAGTTCTAAATTGGAAGATTATTGTGATATTGAAATAGAAAAATAAAATTATACTTTATTATTTTTCGTCGCTCAAAATAAGTGTCACACTCGCAGAAGCCGGTGTACCCGCCAAAACGCCGTGCACTTTTCAAGACTTTCAACCCCAGGTAGGCCAATTATGGATCTTGGGATCCACATTATGTCAGCAGCTCCACCGTGAACTATGTTAAAACAAACACGCTCACGCCTCACAGACGACAGCTTACAGTCCTGTAAAGATGAAGTGACTTCACTGTGCGCAGAGCTTCAGCAGCAGAAGTCCCGTTGTAAACATATCACAGCAGACCCGACGATGTTTGCATGAACACGCTTTACAGCATCTCGTTATTGACCACTTTCACACACGGCTGCTGTACGCACACAGCCGGCTGTAGCTTTTCAGCTCACAGCCCGACACACAACCGCAGAGAGAGCACAGACTTTAAGGCGGCGAGGCGTGATTGCAGGTGCCGCTCAGGTGCGTCCGCCTCCCCTGCAGCAGTACCGCAGACCAAGCCCCGCCGCACACATTAACCAGGTAAAATAAATATAAGTAAATAAACAAATATTTATGCAGAATTTTGCAAATATTTATTTTTCATTTTTTTAGTAGCATAGTGCTTTTTTCCAATTATTTTTTAAAGTTCAGGTCAAGGCTCTGCTGTGCTCCA